GATAGGGAAATAACAGTTAATCAACAAATTGGAGATATAGAAATATAATAGTTGACTAACACGTGGGAGGTATATGGGAATAACAGTTGACCAACAAATTGGAGATATAGAAATAACAGTTGAACAAAATGTGCGCGGAAAATATAGAAATAACAGTTGACCAACATGTAGGAGAAATAGAAATATGTGAGGCAGCGTGGTGGAATCAGGCTCTCGTCAAAATAATCAAAGTGAAAAAACTTGCATTTTTCCGCAGGTTTGTGAATTTTAATCAAATTTTTGTTTTTTGGCTCAACACTTTTCATGCCCATTAAAGAAACCATTTCTGTGTTGATTTTTTCTGAAAAACTTTGATTAAAGGCACACAAAATGTACATTTTCAGTTACCACGGACTCTTAAGCTAAGGAAATAACTAATCTTTGGCGGCCATTTGTTCCCGAATTTTAACTCTGAAAAACAAGTAACCTCCACCTCCTATTTTCGCAAATATCTCGACTTGTATTCAAGATAAACAGATATCGTTTAAAATCCAAATAAAGACAAATGAACAAGCTTTAAGATAATACCTATAACTCTACAAGTCCAAAAACTGACGAGAGCCTGATTCCACCACGCTGCCTCACATATAACAGTTCATCAAATTGGGAAAAATAGAAATAACAGTTGACCTACATAATATGGGTGAAATAGAACTAACAGTTAACCAAATCAGCGAGAAAGCTTACATATCAAAGAGAGGATTGCATGTTTTCTTTCCTTTTATTTTTATTTTGTCTAGTACAGTATTTAGTTTGTCTAGTACAGTATTTAGTTATATTAGATTTATATTAGAAGTTTTACTTTCAGAGTCTTTGGTTTTAGTAAGCGATTTACGGCGCAGACTACCCCATAATTTGAACCACTGGAAAAAACAAACAAACAACAACAACAAAAACACTCTGGCTAAAACAACGTAAATGTGATCTCACCCCCCCAAAAAAAAATCTTTAGGTGAGGATGTTCACCTTTTGAACCCTCGCTTTGTATGCACCCACATTTTACAACACTAACCATTACACCGCCCCCCCCCCTCAAAAAAAGAAAAAAAATGTATATATTTCACAAACTAATTAAATTAATTTACATTAAATTACATTAAAATAAAGTCTTTTTTAATGGTAGAATGGAAAACAAAATTCTGAATAAAAAAATGAAGATATGACTCTTAAAAAAAAATTACTCTAAACCACCCGTGTTCTATGAGTTAATAATTAATTCAGCAGACAACTATTGCAGTGTTTACGGTAGCCCGGAAGATGAGGAGACTAGTTTCCAAGGCTGATGTGTCTTTGTGAGCTATTGCCTTGTGTATTGCGGAACTTTGCCAGACTGCATTTAGAACTGTAGGAGACAGAGAGAGAGAGAGAGAGAGAGAGAGAGAGAGAGAGAGAGAGTGAGAGAGGGAGAGAAAGAGAGAGAGAGTGAGAGAGAGA